CAGTGCCCTAAACCACTCGGCCACGCCGCCTTCCAAAAGTTAGGCAGTTTTTTGGATCTTATGGTAATTTTTTGTTGACTGGGCTTCTGAGGGTTGGTTTTTGGTGGTAGACAACCAAGGCAGGTAGAACAGGAGAGTGTTAACAGGTTTCTATCCTTTGTACCTGGTATGCATATACATGTTTAAGTGATTTCAATCAGTGTGCAAAGAAAACAAATTTTCTTACTAGCTCTCCAAAATGTTGTCTCTTTCAGTACTTCTGTAATTTGAATTTCCTCAGAATGTTTCCCAGGAAACTTCTCTTGACCATTGGGCAAGTAACAGACAGAATCCACTAGCCTGAATGGAAAATTCATTGGTCCCTGGCTATCAGACAGGACATTCTTTGCACACTGTTTAATGATACTTTTTTCTCTTGTTATATATTAATCTTTTGATTAAAACTTTATTGTTCTCCTCCCAGCACTGCTGACCATTCAGTTTATATTGGTATGAAGGAGCTCAGGGCTTTTTTTCAGCGTGCAAATATAAAGATCAGTAACTCAAGGTTAAAGGAACTGGTTCAGGTATTTGAATTCAATTGACTTCTTTTACTAGTCTAGGTTATCACATGATTTTAAGTCCCTTGTGGTTGTAGTTAGTCATGGTATGGAGGACATTAATAACCTGCAACATATCAACACACTGTATTCTTTTTTGGTTCTTGTACCTGCAGATAATGAATTGAATGTGCTTTCTTACAAACATTTTAGTTTTAGTCTCATATTATACAACATGTAGTTTTCATCTTGTTGACATCTTGGGTGAAGTGCTGTTTTGCACCGGCTTGCAAGTGAGTTAATGTTTGTTGTCTTTTGAAGCATCATGGCAGGTGGTAAAAACATAGGCATGCAAGACGTGCAAGAGTTAATTTTTTTGTCTGAATTAAAAGCCCCTAGAGGTAACAGCACTCAGTAGACTCTTAACAGTTATGATAAGGTTAATTCAACAAGTTTGTTTGGTTATGNAAACATAATTTGTTCAGTCATACTATAAATAACCAAATGAAATCTTGGCTACCACTCCAGCACTATCTATCTATCCACAGTTACATATGCTTCAAGACATATGCTTACTTGAGCAAACTATTAACTTCACGGATAACGATGAAAATATGTGATAACCTTGTTACAGCAAGTTTTTGTCTTGCAATGCCGCCACTCTGTTGGGACATGCGATGAAGTAAAAAGTTGATTTCATTCACTTGAATTTTACATTTTGCTTTATCTTAGAAAAAAAACATTTTTATTGTTTCACTTTCTCTCACGAACTGTCTGTTAAACACAACATCTGAAGTTTGCCATTAGGAAAACAAAACAAACCAAAAAAAATTGTTTCACTCATGTCCACTTCATGCTTGCCCATCGGGCAACCTGGGATAAGACAGTGCTAGCCCAACTGATTGTTTCACTAGTCCCGGGCTATCGGGCAGCCTTTTCATCTTGCCCTGTTTCAACCAAAAATTCTTATTTTCAATGAATTTTAAGTGAATAACAATTGCTAATGCCTGTTGTAAGTTGTCAGTAGAGCTAACTGCAAATGCCAATTGTCAGTTAAATTTTTGGGTATTTGTCAGTTGTCAGTAAATTTTTTTGCCATTCTTCAGTTGTCAGTTAATCCCATGCAGACCCTCCATCATCAATGCAAAATTTCCTTGCTATAGGACTCGGCAAGAACAAGTGAAATTGAAATTTGTTTCAAGATTGCACAATCCCACACAATTTCCTGTGCAATCAAAGTTTTTACCCGCACAATTTAGCTCCAAAATTCCGCACAATTTAAATTTTTTTCAGCACCCTATTAGAAGCCCAACTTGGAGGGAAGATATTTAAACAAAGGAAATCATGAGCGTAACAGTGTTTGGATATCTGATCTTAATTAGCATAGATTTTTATGGTTTTATTTCTCCATTTTCTCCTTAGTTTTAGTTTCGATTGAGAAGATATGTCAAACACTCCAGACAGTGTTTGACCACATTTCCAAACACCTTGAAGTTTGTCAAAAATACTCCGCTATGCATCGTATTTTACACTTTCTTCTTGGTGTTTGGAAATGTAGTCAAACACGGTCTTTCGTGTTTGATATATTAATTCAAGTCACAGAAAGTCTCTTGTCGTTCTAAATTTGGAGACATACTGTATTTTGCAAGGTGTAAGAAACAAGTCACAGTTGTTTCTTATAAACTACAAGTCCAAAAACCTTTTTTGTATTTTGCTTGTTTTATGAATTCCACAGAATAATTGTAAGCTTAAGATTTGCTAAAGCTTTAGAGGTTGGACAGGAGCATCTTCTGGAAATAATGCATGCTATGACCAGCAAAATCATAGTTTCTTTGACTTTAAATAAGGTCAGCTTTTTAGAACACTGTTAGTCATGTAAAGATAGCATGAGATAGTAACAGTACTACTTAAGTATAATATATTGATGAAGCAGCAGGGCAGAATTCTGTTCACTGCTGGTCAATTTGCCCAGTGCTTGGCCCTTTATGAAACCCCTGCAAGCTTAAGCTCTAGCTTAACCTGTAATGTTGCCCTCATGGCTTTAATTGTGTTTATTCCTTGTCTTTCACCACCCAGATTATTAGGCAGTAATGTTTGATGTGCTTTGCAGCTCGCTATGTCTTCATCTTAGGGTTTTTAGGGTTAGGTTTCATTCAAGCTCAATTTTGTATCAAGGTGCCATACATGTCTTTGTCAACCGTTTTCAGTTTCATGATTTATGCTGAATTTCACTTTCTACCCTGGTTTGGGATAAATTGACATGTTCTTAGCCATTCAGAATGGAGAAATTGTTGCCTTTTGTTGTTAGCCTTGAAACTCTAATGACAGAGATGCTTCTCATCTGTCAATTAAAACTTTACTCTCTCCCTTCATTTCAATGTCACACAGTTAGCACTTAAGTCAGCATTTTATATATGCGAGGGAGGACCCTTTTTTTTGTCTAAAAGTGCAAAAAAATTACTGCAGGAAAGTACCAAGTTTGTTTAAATAGTTAACATTAATTCTTTACTCTCATCATTCATTTTTGAGCACTCTGAGGATATGTCATCATACATATGCCAGATTATTAGGCTCAGGCAGTTGCTGTACACAACACTGGTCATAGCTCAGTGTACAGGATTGCTACTAACATTTCCATAGCAAAGTTGTTCCATTCTAACTGACTTTTAATTTTGTGGTGTGATCATAGATTGCTGGGAGAGGGGAAGGCCACATTGATTTTGAGGGATTCCGCAAAATTTATGACGAGATAATGACTGTCAAGGAGGTAAGTTGTATTGAGAAAGAAATACTTGGTTTGACAGAGACTCTTATATCAACAACATCAACAACAACAACAAGGCTTTATTTTAATACAGTAATACATTGGACTGACTCGCAAATTGCAGGTCTTAAAATACAATACATGAATTCCTAGTTTATATCAGTGCCTAAATGCCATTCTTTCCACGTCATGTATTCTTTAAGTTATCTAGCGTAGAACTAATTTAAAAGTAACGTAAATATTTTCTTTGTCTCTGTTGTAGTTTTTGTATTTTGTTATTTAAATGATGCGATAAGTGAGCCATCCGCCTAGATTAGGTGAATTCTGCCAGCAGATCAGTTTACAACGTATTAATTTTATTGACTTTAATTTATTAATAAAGTGTGTTAAGTTTGTATACACATGTAAATAAGTCATAGTGCAGTGTCTTGCTTTCTTTTTAAGCCTTTTATTGCCAAAACCCAAAGACATGGGGGTACACCCATTTAATGGACATGGATAGAACTCATCTTCAGTCAGAAACAGCAGTGTTGAGACAGTCTTACTTTAAACTTAGGGGGAGCCCACACACCAAGGCTGACTTGTTTATTCTACCACTGACAAATCTCCAGGGTTGTCGCTAAGCTGTGGCTGCTGGCAAAATTCACCAGCTGAGAAAGAGGTGATCACCGGCTGGATTTTGGCAGGCAATCACTCTCCCAAGGACGATGAACAGTTTTTAAGTTATGAACATAAAATCATTGGATATCTGAACATATCAAACTGTCTAAATGAAAAGTTTGAAATAAATTCCTACCTTGAGTATGGGTGCCATTATAACTAGTAATTAAAAGTAATTGAAATAAAATCTTGTTTTGAGCACTGTTTAGCATGTTACCTTTCCATGTACTGCATCTGCCATCTTGTAAATGCGAAGCTTGGCAGCCACACATTCAAGGGGTTGCAAAAGATTGGAGATGAAAATTTTGTCAGGTCTGTCGCGAAAAAGGTGACTGGCTCATTTGATATGCCAATTTGATAGCTCAGTAATATTTAGTGACTGTTAAGATCTGAAAGCGATACATCTTGGTTAGTAGGATAACTGGTTAATGATTCATACAGTCTTGGCCAGTGAATTAACTCACCCTTATTATAATTTCTGATTACTGGTAACTTTTATACATAAGAAAGCAAGGAGTAAATGAAGATTGTTTTCTTGACTCAATTTAACACTGTTTCATTGTTTTTGCAGATGACCTTGAGATTTAACGAATATATAGAAAATGGGTATGAACAGCAGATTTTTCATTTCCCAATTGATGCATGAGTTCAGTCTTTATGACAAATTGTGCAAACATTGGATTGGTGATGGGCATTTTTACAGACATGTGTTTCGTATGTTTGTTTATCTTTCCTGCAGTAGTTTTTGGCTACCAAAAATGCTGACACTTTGTGCAGAACTCTTCATAATAACATCTTTAGTAACATTGTTTTTCTCCCCGACGATTTCATTTTGAAGGCAACTGGTGCCAGTGCTAGGGCACATCTAGATCTCAATTAATTCTGATGTTTTATTTTCAAATTGAAATTAATTAGTAAGTTGCAAAGGTAATTAACCACTCACTTTTGCTTTTTCTGGTATTTACCTCTAAATTCCCTGTAAACCATACAGAGTTACTGTCAGTAGTAGTGTCATCGTTACAACAGAAGGAGCGACTTACATGTAAGGTATCATGGTAGGTGAATTTTTACCAAAAATGCAAAAAAAATTTTTTGCTGTTCAAATTGAGGAGACTGAGATAAATATTTTGCAAAAGAATGGGAAAAAATGGTTTTTTACTTTTTAAGATAAAGAGAAAAACTATTTTTGAATCTCATTAATCCCTTATGGCGCTTTGACACTAATTAAAATTTACCGCCATTTGTCACATGTAATGCAAATTGTGGTGCGATATTTTATTTGTGCACACACACAAACTGTTCTCAATCTGGTTGTTTCTTTGCAAGTTAGCTTTCGCTCTTGTCAAATTTTCTTTTTGTCAGGACGAAAATGCAAGAAAACTTCTTGCCCACTTTCTTCTTTGAAGAAGCCAAACAGGCAAAAATCTGGTAGAACCCACAGGTTCAGTGTTGAACAAGATCTTTGGCTCTGAGCAACTGTGGGTCACACTGTAACCAAGGAGAATGGTTGATTGATTAGTCTTGCTGATGAAGCTGAAGGACAAACTACAACAAGTGCTAGTCTCATGAAATTGCTGGAGAACAGACGCAATTCTGACACTTCCACAACAAGAGAGTCAAGTGCAGATGTAGATGGAGATGATGGAGACCAAGGTTTCCTCTTTTTGGCTTCATGAGGCATGGTTTCAAAACATATCTGGAGAACAAAGAAGCCTTTTTTTTGAGCAACATAATAACAATGCTGCTGACGAAATCTTATAAGTAAAAGAAATCACAGCAGTTTAAATACAAACCTGTATAAAGCTCTTCGTCTTTGCTGCTTCTCGGACGATCTAACTGCGATGGGTTTCAGCGCCAGAATTTTAGATGTCTGTTTATTTCAAGTTGTTATAAGGCAAGCCATTGTTGAGGTAAACTGACCTATGCCGACATCTGTCGGTGCAGAGGGGATTTTTAACACCTAATCATACCAATCTCATGAAAGGTTTTTCTTCTTTTTCTCGATAAAATAAAACTGCATATAAGGATGAACATTTTTAGTTTGTTAATGCACGGAATGTTTGTTAATGGACGGAATTGGCTGAAAATTGGCAGGTATGTTCTAGGATACCTCCTTCGAAAAAGAGTGTCAGGCTTTGTTTAATTTCGCTTCTGTTTTAAAGTTATGGCCTCTTTAATATAAGGAAATGTCCACATTGAAAATATCAAACTTTAGGAGGGCATAGAAAAAAAACCAAACCACATCTGGAAAATTGCCGACACCCTTTTTGAGAGTGATGTTTGAGAAAACATTTCTGATGTTAATTGTGCCTTCCGATAATTCATGCACAGAAGCGAACCAGTTTAAGTAAAGCAGTGTTTCTGGGTATTTCTTTTAATATCTCTGTGACAATAACTTTTTAGAAATTTTAAAGGTATGATTGTATTTTGTAACTATTAAGCTTTCAGAAATTGTACAGGTTGATGTGGTTTTCTTTCAAAGCACCAGCATCGGAGCATGATTTCCAAACACTGTCAATCCACCTACCATGATACCTTAAGGTAGTTTAATTAGCAGTTACACACAACTTTTGTCTTATTTATACTTGACTTATGTAACTGCTACTCATTTGTCATATGTTTGCAGTTGTTTTATTTTTCTTTCAAATGAATATAAAATCTGTAGACTGAGTAAAAACTAAAATTTAACTGAATAGGCAAATTTTCTTGTCATAAAGGTGGCAATCTACCAGAAGATCCTTTGGATGTTCTACCATAAGTTACTCAATATTCTCTTTGTTTTCAATTTTGTTTGTTACCACAGAACCTATGTTCCTCTTGCCAATTTTCAGAAATTCCTTTTGGACGAACAAGAGGTAAGCTCAATTTATACGAAATAAAATGGTGATTACTTTGGTTTTAGCTTTACTACAGTTTGATATTGGCTGAGTAGTCTAAATGGTACATGTAAGTAGTCGGTTTGGTTTTGGTTTTGAGTGAAAAAGTCAGTACAGTTAACCATCATACGCTCTACAAAAAGTAGGGAAACATGAAGAGCCCAAAAATAATGCACCCGCAAGGAGTGGTGGAGGAAGTTCTTTGCTACAAGAAGTTGTATAGTCCAGCTGCATGAAGTTTTCTCTATCTGATCTGACAGTGCATGGATGGTAGTAGTGTAAATAAATGTCGCAATTGTTTTAACATTTCATTTTCACCAAAACTCTCTTATAATTAGACATGCACTTACAACAAAACTTTGCAGCTGAGAACAAGGGCTACTATGAAAATGTCAACTTGAGCAACTAGTGCAGCCAGCTTTTTCGCTGACAAAATGTAGAAGTACTAGTTGTGAAATGCACATGCATGATACGGAACAAAAGCGTGTAGGCGAATTCTTTTATTTCAAATACTTTCTTGTGGCGGTCTCTAATGCAACAGGTTAAGCCAATTTTTCGATAGTGGAACTTGACAGATCTATAAAAAGATAACCAATAGAAATAAAAGAAAATGCTGACACGCTTTGAGAGATTGATGCTTTGTGATCAACACTGCACAGTTATTTTGCATCGACGATCACATTTGATACCCGATTAATTCGCTGGAATTTCAGTCAGTTGTTTTGGCGTTAACGGCTTTTGCTGCCTTAGGAAAGCAGTTGGCAAAAAAGAATATAATTTTATCGAATTCTACATTTTATAACCTTTTTATTGATATATAGTTTGAGGGGGTTTCCTTTAAAACAGTGCGCGTACGAATTTTTTCTGGAGGACACCCATGAAAGTTTGAAGTAACCTTAACATTTAGTCACGTCAATAATAATAATAATGTGAAGTATATATGAAATAATTCATATTTGAACTGTGGTAGTAGATGAAAGTGAAGTATGATCATCGCAGTAAATTTTCCA